CTCGTAGTGGCGGTCTTGGAGCTCCTGGGACTGGGGGTGCTGCTGGGGCTACTGGAGTTGGTCCTGCTGGAGCTACTGGAGGTGCTGGTGCTGCTGGAGCTGTAGCTGCTGGGGGTGTTGATGCTCGTGTTTCTTCTGGCGCTGGTGCGATTAGGGGTGCTGGAGTTGGCGCTATCGGAGCTGGAGGTGCTGCTGGTGCTGGTGCTGCCGCTGGTCCTGCTCCTCCCTTAGAGTGTCTACAGCCTGTCCACTCGCAATCACAGTTACAGCTCGCCTCCCCCCTACCTGCTCCTTCTCCCTACACTGGTCCTACTGGAGGTCTTACTGAGCGTCGTGAGCCTGCGTCTCATCCTGCGTCGCCTGTTCGTGCTGCTCGCACTAGTCGTCGTATTCCGCGTCCGCGTCCTCCTGCGGTTCCAGGCACACACCAGATGGCACTACGTCCTTCCACTGCTCCCCTTCGTGTCCCATTGCCGTCTCCTCCAAAGTCCTCTCTTCCTGTCCTTACTGACCCTGAGTCTGACTCTCTTCGTGCTGCCAGTCCTACTGTCACGCGTCTCCTGGCCACTGTTGTCACCGACCCTTCCTTTGAGTCCACTGCTGCGTCTGCCTTAGTGGCTGAGCTTGTCGACTTCGCTGCTCGCTGTCGTCTAGACTACGCCACTAGACTTGTTGCTGAGTCTGAGTCTGTCTGTCCTCCGTCCGTCGGGGGTGGGTGTGCTCTTAGCACGGACGTCCTTGAGGACAGGCAAGAGGAGTTCCAGTGTTTTGCTGCTGCTTTGCCTCATCTCGTGTCCACACTGATTGCCCCTGAGGGAGACCCAGATGCACCAGACATCCCGACTCCTCGATCGTACGCTGAGGTGATCATGGGTCCCTACTCCTCTTAGTGGCAGTCACCCATGGACGCAGAGATGGCTTCCTGGAAGTCCACAGGCACCTACGTTGACGAGGTTCCCCCACCTGGGGCGAACATCATCAGTGGCATGTGGATTTTCAGGGTGAAGCGGCCGCCGGGTTCTCAACCTGTCTTCAAGGCGCATTATGTGGCTCGAGGCTTCAATCAGCGGCGCGACTACGAGCTTCACTCTCTTGACTTCAGCACAGCTTTCCTGCAGGGCAGCCTGCACGAGGAGATCTGGCTGCGCCGCCCACCTGGCTTCACTGGGTCGTTTCCTCCTTGTACCTAGTGGAGCCTCCGCCGGCCAGTCTACGGTCTCCGCCAGGCGCCCCGTGAGTGGCTCGACACACCGAGGACTACACTTGCGGCTCTTGGGTTTGCTCCTTCTACAGCCGACCCGTCGCTGTTTCTGCGCACCGACACCTTTTTGCCGCCGTTTTACATCCTCTTGTACGTCGACGACTTGGTCTTTGCCACTGCTGACACTGCTGGACTCGCCCACGTGAAGTCCGAGCTGCAGAAGAGTTACACGTGCACAGACCTGTGTGAACTGCGCAGCTACCTTGGCTTGCAGATCACCCGGGACAGAGCACAGCGCACCATTACCCTAACTCAGCTACACATGGTGCAGCAGGTCCTTCAGCGCTTCGGCTTCACGTACTCCTCGCCTCAGACCACTCCTCTGTCTACTCGCCACTCGCTCTCAGCTCTGCCTTCGGATGAGTTTGTAGAGCCGAGTGGCCCGTACCTAGAGCTTGTTGGCTGCCTCATGTACCTGATGACCTGCACACGACCTGATGCATACCCTCTTAGCATCTTGGCACGCTATGTTGCTCCTGGAAGACACCGACCAGAGCACATGGCTGCAGCGAATAGGGTGTTGCGCTACGTGTGCAGTACGTCGGGCATGGGGCTAGTGCTTGGAGGGCGACGTCGAGTGGTCCTCACAGGTTACGCAGACGCTTCTTGGGCTGACGACCAGCCGACACAGCGGTCGTCACAGGGTTATACCTTCAGCCTTGGCTCCGGCTCGGTTTCGTGGCGGTCTACCCGCTCGTCTTCTGTTCTCGGCTCCAGCTGTGAGGCTGAGATCTACGCGGGGGCCATGGCTGCACAGGAGCTACGCTTGCTCACCTACCTGCTGACTGACCTAGGAGAGCCGCCTCGTTCTCCTCCAGTTTTTGTACGTAGACAACAAGGCCATGCTAGCCTTGTGTCGGGAGCACAGACTGGAGCACAGAACGAAGCATATTGCTCTCCGCTACTTCCTGGCTCGTGGGCTGCAGCAACGTGGTCAGCTCCGTCTCACCTACGTGGCCTCTGAGGCCAACACTGCTAATATATTCACCAAGGCCCTTCCGCCTTGTGATCATCAACGCTTCTGTGCTATGCTAGGTCGTGTGCCTACTTGGCCTCACTTGCTCACTTCTTGACCTTGTTTGTACTGTACTCTTTCTATACCTGCACTTGCTTGTTTACTTTATATATATGATCTTGCATGTGAACTGGCCTTGTGGCCTTGCTCTTGTGCTTGGACTGTATGGTGACATTGTGATCCACCCTGAGCTTGCTTTGCTTTGCTTGACTGGTCTTGTGACCCCTTGTTCTCCCCCACTTTGCCTATAGGGGTGTGTCAGGCATATATGCTATAGTCTGTGTAGGCTGTAGTGGGGCAGTTCATATGGGGTACAATACTTTAGGGTTTGCTACTTGTACTCCTCATTCTGCTCAATGCATTCAACCCTCGTTTCTTCTCAAAGTCACCCTTCACGCCTCTTTTCATGACCCCCAACTTTTTCCGCTCTATCTCCTGGCAGAGTGGCTCAACCGCACAGAGGAACAGATACGGGGCGAGTGGATAGCCTTGCCGCACGCCTTTGGCCATCTCTACCCGCTCTCCCATCCATCCGTTCAGCAGCACCCTGGTTGCCACAAACCGTTTTCAGATCGTAAAATAGAAGAATCTACGGTGAGATTGAAATTGTTAATGTCAAATTTCTCAACAAGAAACCATGGCGGTGAGCAGGAAGTTTGTGTGGGACCATATTTCTTGTACGAAGAACAACATAATATTGTGCACTCTCATATATAGGCCACTTTCAGTCAATCTGAAGAGCACTGTATACTGAGAAGTTGCGAGGCCAGCTTCTCCGTGCGGCTTTCTTGCCTGGGTGGAACCTGCTTTTTTGTTCAAACACGTCCGCCAAATTTTCGCGCTAGAGTTGTTCCCCCTATTACAGAAACTCTGGAAGCCAGAGCACGCTCACACATCTTGCAGTCAGCACGTGTATTCCTGAAAGGCAGCACGCTAACACAATATGGCGGAACTTTTCGTCAGAGCGGAAGTTCCTGCTAACGCTTTGAGACATGCGGACTGCCAGGTCGAATATATTCCACTTTCTGTCCTCTTCTTAAGTTCCGTGATTTTTTACTACGTGCGTCTACACCAGGTTGTTTTCCCGACGGAATGGTTGCCGTTGGTGTACAACAATCAAAGTAACAAAAGCATCTGCGTATGTTGGAGAACTTCAAGTGCTCGACAGCTACGATCAGGGAATCTGTCGAGAGTTGCTAGCTGGAGCGTCGATACAGACGAAAAGTGGTGAGTCGATTTGACTACGCACCAGATTTTGTCATCTTAGTAACACGTTTTTCTGTGTTAAGGATTCTATCCATAACTGGGGGGGTTACCGACACCTGTCCCTTCGTGTTCGAGGTTCTGAGGGAGGCACCTTGCTCAGCCACTTTCCACATATTGTTGACCATTATTTCCAGCATCGAGGAGCGATCTGTCTCTATAGGTGTCGTTTCGCAACACTTTGCTATGTTACTTCATTGTGGTGTTACAAACTTACGTCAGCAATCTGGCATATCAGACGCAAAGTGGAACTTCGAACGTGGCTCTTGGTCAACTGGAAACTCTTTCCGAATGGGCGACATTATTTCTTCTGCTGCAGGTTTTTTGAATGACGGAGTGCTCAGAGGGGAGCTTATGCTGCTGCCAGGTATATGCTTTCTATTTTTTTTATTCATAACCCGAGGGGTCTGACCACTCTCGTAGACTCTGAGCAGCAGGAAGCATTGAAAGCGTTTCCGGCAGCTTTTTCAGACTCCCCACTCAAGTTTTGTGGGTTGTCTACGAAAAGCATTATGTCAAGAACTACAGTGATAAGCAACCACCCCAGAATTATTGTATTTGATTGGTTGCTCTCTAAAAAGGAATGCGAGCACCTGATTATGCTAGCAGCACCTCATATGCGCAGATCACTTGTCAGCGGAAGGGCAATCAGTGAGGTAAGCGTTTCATAATTGTCACCACGCTATTCTCTGCTGTTGACTTGGCATATCCAATGCAGAACAGGACTAGCTGTAGTATGTTTTGCACAAACGGCTTGGAACTAGATCCTGTGGTTCAGTGTGTTGAGCGGAGGTGCATCTTCTACATGAAGCTTTTAGGCATACATGTTGTCCCAGACAATGAAAAACTTCAGGTGAGCTACTGCATTACCTATTGGTCGTTTTTTGAACCAGCAAAACAACTGTCTCATTCCCTTCAGATAATACGATACAAAGCTGGTGAAGAGTTCAAAGCTCATTTTGACAATGGTAGGTCTCTCTTCTCCCTTTTTCTATGTCAGCGCATGCTAACTTTTACTTGTCAGATGTGGGAAATTGCAGCAAGCGTGCAGCCACGGTGCTCATGTAAGTTGCTGTTGTTGTTATTCCTCTCCCTCTCTCTCTCTCTCTCTCTCTCTCTCTCTCTCTCTCTCTCTCTCTCTCTCTCTCTCTCTCTCTCTCTCTCTTTTCTCTCTCTCTCTCTCTCACACATCTTGTTCATTTTCTAGTTCATTTGTTGACACAAAGATTTCCAGGTACTTATCAGATGTGGAGAGCGGCGGAGAAACTCATTTTCCAAAAGGATTATTGATGCACAAAAGCAGCGGTTTTGATGGTATATGCGGAAGTGGTTCCGGCGTTTCTATAGCTCCGAAGATGGTTAGCTCTTGCATTTCCCCCTGCTGTATCCCAGCTTACCAACTGGTATTCACATATTTTCGCATTTTCCAGGGAAGGGCTTTGGTATTTTTCAGCCGCCGACATGATGGATCTGAAGATCCTTGTAGTCTTCATGGTGAGTTGTTTATGAGACAGTGCCTTCTGCCGTTTATCGTCTCCTGTCATTTTAGCAAATCATTTACAGTTTGACTGTTTCAGCTGGAGCTAAGGTTCGGGCTGGAATAAAATGGGTGGCATCCAAATGGATATCAATCAGCTAAATGAAGTGTTTTTGGCATTTTGTTTGCTTTCGTGTGAGATCATAACTGGATGTTCATATTGACTCAAACCGGTGGGGCATAATATACTGCATGAGATTGCTTTGATTCGAGAAGGGCCTGTTTCCAGGAGTAACTAGAGTCGTCAGCTGTAGGGGTGGTCTATGTTCAGGGGGAAGAATCAGTTTTAGCATTCATCACATTACGATAACAGGTTGCCTGAAAAGGCAGTACACAGCAATGTTTCAACAACCCACCGAGTCAGCGCGATGACGTCATCATGCGTTTCAAACAGGGGAGGCCTCTATTTGAGATGGTATATTGAACCCTCGACAGGATATGTTTTGAGATTGAGGTCACACGTAGTTTGCTCACAGTTGAGGCTGGTACGTAGCGGTGCAAAGCGGTGAAGGGAACAAACCGCTGTGCACAACGTATTAGCCAACCGCTATTTTTGAAGACATGGCTTTCTCTAATTCAAGTAGTTTCCAACCCAACTCTAGTCAACCCCACCAATCGCGCCGCATCAAAGCGTTACCCCCGTTGCAAGAACCACTGCGTATTACACACCTTGGTCCTGACCATTGACCCCTGCCAGCAGGAACGGGCCTCACTACTGATTGGATTCCCCGCAGCTCGTCACGTTGAACAGCTGTCGCGACTGAATTGGACAGCATGAGGCGGGTCCCGCGTCGTCCGCCCGTCGTCTGCCACCTCGTTACGACGTGAAGGGCTCCAAACCGAGCTGGTATTGCAGATACTAACGTTCAGCGCATCGGCAAGCGAATCCGCGAATCGGTTCGCGAACACAGATAGTAACCCGTCCCGTGTTCGTCCACGATGGAGACCAGACAGGGAAAGGTTCGGGGGGACGGCTTGTGGTGGGGTTTCCGGCGCGTGGGTACCCGCGACCTGCGCGTGCTGCTGATCGCCATGGCCACTGCCATCCTCCTCATCGCCTCGTTCTCGCGACCGCACGCCAGGTGAGCCGGGTCGACCTTGAGGTGGGTCAACGGTAAGCCAGGTCAACGGTGAGCCGTGTCGACGTTGAACCCCACCCCTCCCCTCCCCTTTCCCCACCCACACACACCCTACACCTCATCTCTCCCGCCGATTCCTCCTCCCTTCTTTCCGCTCGCCCTCGGGCTCTCCCCGTCCCCAGTTGGGACGAGCGCGACCTGCAGGAGGAGGCGGGGGGCCTGCCGACGGACATAGACCAGGACGCGGTCGTCGCCATGGACGAGTGGGACGCCATCGACCGCCTCCCCTGGCACCGCCTCCCGCCGCCGCCGCCCTCGCTCTCGCTGCATGGCACCGTGCCCGGGAATAACGTCTCTCAGGGGGGGGATGGGGCAGGCGTGGGGGAGGAAGGCGGGGACGGGGCGGACGGGGAGGAGGAGGGAGTGGGGGGGAAGGGGAAGAAGAAGAAGAAGAAGAAGAAGCCGAAGCGGCCGCCGCCGCCTGTGAGGAGGATAGTGGAGGTGGCAGAGGCGGACGCGTGTGCTGTGCCGCGGCCTGTGGTGCCGTGCCGCCTGCCCAAGGGGCAGCGCGTGGAGCTGGTGTTCGTGTCCGCCATGTGGGAGCGCGAGGCACAGACCAAGGTGGGGGAGAGAGGGGGGGATGAGTGGGGGGTTAGGGGTCGGGATGGGGGGCGAGGCACGAATTAAGGTGCGCTAGGGGGGGTGGGGAGTGAGAGGTGGACGGGGAAGGGAGATGGGATGGGAGGGACAAGGGGATGAGAGAGGGGGAGAGGTGAGTGAGAGGGCGAGGGGGGTGAGAGGGAAGTGGAGGGGAGGCGAGGAGGATGTGAGATGGCAGGGGGTGAGAGGGGGAGGGGCAGGTGGGAGGGGGAGGACGGTAAGAGGGGGGAGGTGGGTAAGTTGAGGAGGTGGGTGAGATGAGAAGGGTGAGAAGAGCATGAGGGTGAGAGGAGCGAGAAAGAAGGGGAGGAGGTTGAGAGGACAGGGGATGGGTGGGAGGGTGAGGAAGATCAGGAGAGGGAGAGAGAATGTTAGCCTAGCCTCCCTCCCAGGCCTGTCCCGCCCAGCCCTGTCCAATGGGTATATAAGGACACTGGGTGCCCTTTGATTCTCATTATTCAGTTTGGGTCTCCAACTTTCGGTGGGAGGGGGAGTGAGGGGGAGGCGAAGGGAGATCAGCAGAAGGAGGTGAAAGGGAAACGGGGACAAAAGGAGGAGAAGGAGGAGGGTGAGAGGGTAAGAGGTGTAGGGGATTGAGAGCGGGGGAAAAGGAGAATTTGAGGGAGATGGGAGAGGCTGTATGTGAGATGGGGAAAGAAGTGAGAGATGGGAGGAGGAAGAGGGTGAGAGGGGAGGCATGAGAAGAGAGGTAGGTGGGAGGGCGGAGGTGCCAATGGGAATTGAGGGGTAAGAAAGGAGGGGGGTGAGAGGTAGAGGGTGGTAAGAGGCGGAGAGAGTGGATTCAAGGGGCGGGTATTAGAGTGAGAGTGGTAGGGGAGGGAGGTGGGGCGAGTGAAAGTTAGAGGGCCCAGGGCAGGAGTTGAATGGTAGGAGGGCAAAACTCGAAAGGAGGGGATGGGGGAGGAGGGAATGCGTGTGAAAGAGCAAATGATGGATGAGGAAGGTGGGATGGGGTTCTGAGTCTTTGTGTAATGACTATGTGCACATGGGGACACGTGTGTGTGGGAGGGGGTTGGTTGGAAGGGTGCATGTGGGCATGTAATGACTATGTGGGCATGTGGGCATGTGGGGGGGGAGCAGGGCCCAAGCCGATGGGAGAGGTCTTAAAGCATTGCAGCATGTGGGATAGGCAGGAGGGGGCGATCTAGTGCATGAATGATGCGCCAGTATGATTGCACGGTCTGTATGATTGTATAAAACTGGATTGCCTTCACCGTACATGAGTGCTGCAACAGCCTTGTGTGTGCCTACTTTCAAGCCTTCATGCTCCCCACAGCTCGTTCCCTTTCCCACCGTCCCTCCTTCAATTTCTCCTCTTTTCACCACCATGGCTCCCCTCCCCTCCCCTCCCCTCCCCTCCCCTCCCCTCCCATCCTATCCCCTCCACTCCCCTCCCCTCACCTCACCTCACCTCTCCATCGCCTCTTTCCGTTCCAGGACGAGACAGAGACGATGCTAAAGTCACTGCTGTACGGCACGCGCTGCCCGCTGCACATCCACTTCATCATCGCGGGCGAGCCCGAGCAATCCGCGCTGCGCTCCCTCATGGTCACCCTGCGCGCCACCGAGCTCATCCCCAACCCCTCGCCCTACATCTACCCCACGCGCAAGGGCGCCAGAATCGGCCACCCCACAGCCAAAGACCTGGCAGCGCGCGGGTACAGCAACGGGGTGGCGAGCAGGCAGCGAGCGGCGGTGCTGTTCAGCATGCACTACCTGCCCACGGAGTATGTGGTGGAAAGAGCCAAGGCGCTGCACCTGTGGCCGCTCGCCCACCATGCGGGCGTGCCCGGCATGAGCAAGTTCTTCATGGCTGAGATCCTCTGGCAGGTGGGTGCGGTTGTTGGGGGGTGGGTGGGTGTGTCGGGGTTGTGGCTGGATGTGGCTGGGGTGCCTAAGGGGTGGTGGGTGTGGTGAGTAGTAGCGTGCATGGGTGTGGTGAGTAGCTTGATGAGTGTGTTTCCCCCGTACACAAGGGTTGTGGTGGAGATGCCCCCCTTCCCCATCCACCCCCCCAGCCCCCGTGCCCGGCATGAGCAAGTTCTTCATGGCTGAGATTCTCTGGCAGGTGCGGTTGTTGGGGCGTGGGTGGGTGCATTTGGGTGCGGCCGGGTGTGGCTGGGTGCAGCTGGGGTTTAAGGGTGCGTAAGGTGTGGCGGGTGTGCTGAGGAGTGGTAGTGTGCGTGAGGGTGTGGGGAATGAGTACCTTTATCAAGGCGCAATGCTGTGGTAGGTGGGTGGTGGTGAGCAGTCGGGACTGTGATTGATTTGTGCGCTTTTGAGGTGGCTGAAGAGTCACGTGGATGGATGGAGGGAGGGCGAGGTGAATGTCAGGTGGCCAAATCTCCGTCGCTCCCTCTACACCCCCCTTTTCCCTCTCACCTATCCCCGTGTTCCAGTACAGCACGCAATGTAACTGCACGCGTGAACATAAAATCACCAGACTTGCGACATCCAGTGCCTGAGATTGCCCGGGGGCTGAAAATCAGCATGACAGCCACCTGCCTGCTTCTCTCCCTCACCACCACCACACCGCACCCCCAGCCCCAAACAGTTAACCAGATTCCCTTCCTCTCCACCCCTCTCTTCCTCCCTCCCCTGCACGTACAACCCGCCATCTACATGGGTGTGGACGGGATAGCTGCGTGCTTCTATCAATCCAGGTTGAGCCGTCTGCTCGTATTCCTCACCAACTCCCCTTACCCTCTCTCCCTACCTGCACGTGGACGTGTAGTGGCAAGGGGTGAGTGAGGGACATCCAAGGCATGTGCCTCAATCCAAATCGGCAACGTGGGCTCTTCTTCCGCACCAGCAACCACAACCCCAACCTCCAACCACCGATCAGATTCCCCTCCTTCCTCTCTCCCCTGTCCCCCTCTCACCCGCTAACTTTCCCAACACCTGCAGGTGCAGCGAGCCATCTACCTGGACGTGGACATGATAGTGGGGGGCGACATCCAGGACCTGTGGGACTTGTGCATGCTTCATTCAACTACGCCTTCTCATGCAGCCCCCTCTCTCTCCCTGCCCAAACCGTCGTCCCCTTCCCCCTCCCACCCCCACCCCCACCAGGTGCAGCGAGCCATCTACCTGGACGTGGACATGATAGTGGGGGGCGACATCCAGGACCTGTGGGACTTCTTCCTGTCCATGGCGCACGACCCCGACCTGCTCTACTTCATCAGCAACAACCACCCCGAGGGCGCCAACGCGCGCCGCCTGCTGCGCCCCTACTGCTCCTGCCAGATGGTGCTGGACCTGCAGCGCATGCGCAAGGCCAACCTCACCCAGGTGGGGCTCCTGGAGGGTAGGAACTCAGCGAGGGTGGATGGGGTTTCGAAGCAGTGGAGGCAAGGAAAGGATTGATGGATGGTGTAGGGAGGATGTATGTGACTGGTGCTGGAGTTTGGACTCTGGCACAATATCTCGAGGGAAGTTGGTGGCGAGTTACCATGCACTTGCAGGTTGCGAAGTAGGTCTATACTTGGCATTGCCATTGTCCTGATATCACCACTCTCCCTCCCCACTCATATCTCTCTCTCCTCCCACTCCCCCTTTCCCCCTCTCCCCACCACTCCCCGTTTCCCCTCTGTATGCATATCATCCCTGCGTTTCTCTCCGCCGCACCTCTCTCCCCGTGCATGGGCACCACCACGCACAGCTGTTCGTGGACACACTGGGCCCGCACAAGCCCAAGGAGCTAGCGGACTACGTGGAGGACGGGGACCAGTTCCTCTTCATGTGGACGTGCAAGCAGATGCCCACGCGCTGCCGCGTGCTGCCGCGCCTCTGGAACGTCTCTGGCTGCACCAAGCCGCTCCCCTTCCTGGGGTTGACGTCGAGAGGAAGGGAGGCGAATGGGAGCTGTTGGCGCATTGTGCATTTTAACTGCATGGGGCACATGCGAGGAGGGCAGGGGAGCTATGTTGTGCCTCCGGAGTGGGAGGAGGCGGCTTCGTGGACCCGGAGTTTGAGATTGGAGAAACTGAGACGGCCGCCAGTAGCGTGATGTATTTCTGTTAGGGCGTGGCAGGGCAGGTCCCCATAAGCCAGCATCTTTGCACAGAAGGGGGGAGGGGAAGAAAAGCTCGTACTCCCAAGAAAGGTATTATCTGATATATACTGGACTCCTTTTTATGACAACAAAATTTCCCCCGTGCATTCCTGAAAGTACCTTAACGTGAAGACACACTACCGAGTACAAAGTCTCAAAACTACCGCATCACCCCGGATATAAGCGCAGGCCTATGTTAAGCGCATGCGCTTATATCTGGAGCAATGCGCTTATGGCCGATCCTCAATTATAAGCACACCCCTTATAAAACCCTGATTTATTATAAGCGCATGTATAAACCGGATTAAAACAGTAATGACTTCCCGGTTTGAAGCAAGTCCACATCCACTTCTACTCTGTTCGACTCCCTCGAGGGCGGGCTCGCTCAGGAAAAGCGCAACGGCGCGAAGCTGACCTGACAGGGGGGCTCGGGAACACCTGTTGTCTGTGCGCTGCGAGCGAGCGACTGCAGGCTATTGGTCGTACACTGGGCAAGCCTGTGCGATGCGAACGAGCGACTGCAAGTTATTGGTTCGTACACTCTGCTGGGGCGAGCATGACACATTCCTATGCGAAAGTGACGTGTCCTTGCCCTTGCGCGCCGGCAGAGAATCGCCCTCGCGCGATTCTGATTCAGAACGCTCCACACATTTCGATTTGAATGAAATTGCAAGACTCTAATGCACAGATTGGTGCATTTATAACATATTTCTGTGTTTGTTATTATATAAGTGCATGCGCTTATAATTTTGACTCATTTATGAGCGCACCCCCCTAAAAAACACTGTTTTATTATAAGTGCAGATGCGCTTATATCTGGGGTATTACGGCATAACATTAAATTTTTTCAACACATTGATGGTTTTCAAAATTGTGTATTGTGAAAGCGAAGCTGCCTGTACCGAATATTTGGCAGCGTCGAAGCGCGCTAAACGCCATTCTCCAACTACAAAAACCGTGGGTTGGAGTTCGTTCCCTCCATCCACGTTTCTCGTTTTCCAACGGCTCTATCGACATTTCCGTTCGAGCAGTTCTTTTCCCCGTCCAAGCTGGCTAGAACTCGCACTCTTCCCAGAGGCGAGTCACCCTCAACACTTATGCAAGACATTTTCAACCACAATCGCTCTACAATGGCGTCTACGCCGGCACTTAACCGCGGCAATTCGTCTGCGCCGAGTTCTGACACCGACCGTAATGCCCGAGAAATGACAGGCGATGGCCGTAACAAGCGACGAGCAGAGAAAGGATCGCCCGCCCCAACTGTCAGAATGTGATGTTTGTGTAGCCTGCAGTGGGGTACTCTACAGCGAGTACAGCCCGAATTTGGGTTTGCTATATGTACTCAACTGCATACTAGTGAAAACCCCTCTTTCCTGTTTCTGATTCTTGCCTAGTATTTCGACATGCTATCAGAGCAGGTCGACCCTCTTGGGTCGATCCTGTGGGTGGGCCCCACCCGATGCTTCCGCTGCTCTACTGCCTGTAGCGCGCCCCGAGCGCCGTTTTCTTCCTACCGTGCGCTCGGAGCGCGCAGCGGGGCGCGCGGCGGTTTTCTGCCCTGTCGATCCGCGCGTCGCCCCTCGTCGCCCGTCGCAGCGCCCCCGGGGACCCGCGCGTCGCCCCCCATCGCCCGTAGCGGCCCGCGCGCGGCCCGTACAGCCCGCGCGCGGCCCGTACGGCCTGCGCCAGGCCCGCGCGCGGCCTGTACGGCCTGCGTCAGGTCCGCGCGCGGCTCGTACGGGCTGCGCCAGGCCCGCGCACGGCCCGTACAGCCCGCGCGCGGCTCGTATGGGCTGCGCCAGGCCCGCGCGCGGCTTGGGCAGCCCACGCGCGGTTCGTCTGGCCTGCGCCAGGCCCGTGAGCGGCCCGTACCGTCTTCCCCTGTGCCGCACGCCGTCCCCCGAGCTTCTGACCGCGCCCCACCCCCGCTGCTGCCCGCGTTCCTGTGTTAGGGTTTGGGGGTGGAGAGTATGGGGGTGCCGTGTGTGTGAGCCGTCCCCTGCTCCTCCTCCTCCTCCGTCTCCCACTGCTGCAGCTGCCGCTGAGGGGGGTGGATGTGTTGGAGCCGTCGGAGTGGTACGAGGGGGGTGGCGTGTGAGCGGTGCTAGTGGTTCAGCAAGGAGTGTGTGAAAGGAGTGTGTTGGGGGAGGTTGATCGGAGGTAGCCGACTTGTCGTCTGCAGCGCCTGAAGTCCAGAGAGCCACGACCCCCTGTGGCCTGAGTAGCTCGGGGCTCTGCGCCCGGTAGCCACAGTGTGAACACTCCTGGTAGTCCAGAGAGCCACGATCCCCTGCGGTCTGAGTAGCCCGGGGCTCTGCGCCCGGTAGCCACAGTGTGAGCACTCGTGGGAGCACAGCGAGCCAGCAACGCCTGTCGCTGTGTAGTCCGGGTTTAGCCTGGTAGCGACAGTGCTGCACACTTCTGTTGTTCGTGTGTCTGCAGCTTCAGCCGTCGTCTCGCATCTTCTCGCCCCACAGTTTCTCTTCCTCCTCACTTGCTCTCTGTGATAGTCCCTAGCGCTGCTTATAATTGTGAACTACTGCTCTGCCTGCTTGTTGTGTTGATTGTACCCCACTTTGACTATGGGGGTGTGTCAGAATGTGATGTTTGTGTAGCCTGCAGTGGGGTACTCTATAGCGAGTACAACCCGAATTAGGGTTTGCTATATGTATTCAACTGCATGCTAGTGAAAACCCCTCTTTCCTGTTTCTGATTCTTGCCTAGTATTACGACACCAACTGCCATGGACGTGCTGTAGGGCAGGCTAGACCGTCTGCAGCCTAGTAGGGCTTGCGGTGGCCATGGCCAGCTCTAGGATAGGGTGGTGGAATTTGGCCATAGGCCTAGCTTTAGGGAAGAGGAAGAATGCCTCTCGGTCCCGTAGGATAGGGTAATAAAGTATGGCCGTAGGCCTAGCTTTGGGGAAGAGGAAGAATGCCTCTCGGTCCCCCGTATGCCCCAATTGATGGGATGAGAAGCATGCTAGTAGGCATGACAATGTATGACCATGAGAGATATGGATTTTATTAAAGTCCCCCTCTGGTTTGTGAAGGATAAAAAAAAAAGGGGGGGGGGGGGGGGGGGGGGGGGTGGGGACGAAACGCGAGGAGGAGAAGGGTAGAGGGAGAAAAAGAGAGTACGCACGTTCCTCACTCAAACCGCCACCATGCATAACAAGGAGAGGCAGCTCTGGTTCAACCTTTGGAAGACCAAAAAGGGCAAGAAGGAGCAAGGCATTAAAAACAAAAGGGGGGGGGGAGGGGGTGCATAGCGATGTCGCCTAGCCCAAGTGAAGGCACGCGCGGGAAGGCACGAGCCCATGGCAAGCGAAGCATGCAATGCTCAAACGATAATGGAAACATACACTAAAAAGAGAGGGAGAGAGAGAGAGAGAGAGAGAGAGAGAGAGAGAGAGAGAGAGAGAGAGAGAGAGAGAGAGAGAGAGAGAGAGAGAGAGAGAGAGGCACTAGGCCCTTTCCACAGTCTCTCCAAACTCTCTAGCTTAGCTTAGCCTTAGCATAGCATAGATTTAAGGCTTTCTTAGCCTCCTGTCCCTAGTGTATTCCCTGCAGCAAGAGTATAAGGAGTACAGGAGCACATATAGCCTCCCCTAATGCCTCATTCCCGCCATTATTCTCTGGTGAGCTTGGTTCCTCCCAACCCAGCGGCTCGCGCCGGCGGAGAGAGCGAGAGAGAGAGAGAGAGAGAGAGAGAGAGAGAGAGAGAGAGAGAGAGAGAGAGAGAGAGAGAGAGAGAGAGAGAGAGAGAGAGAGAGAGGCACTAGGCCCTTTCCACAGTCTCTCCAAACTCTCTAGCTTAGCTTAGCCTTAGCATAGCATAGATTTAAGGCTTTCTTAGCCTCCTGTCCCTAGTGTATTCCCTGCAGCAAGACTATAAGGAGTACAGGAGCACATATAGCCCCCCTTAGTGCCTCATTCCCGCCATTATTCTTTGGTGAGCTTGGTTCCTCCCAACCCAGCGGCTCGCGCCGGCCGCCTTCGGCGGCCGACGCTTGAGGGCGCGGCCTTCGGCCGCGCGTGAGGGGAGGCAAGTACAAGGAGACAAGAGCAACCTTAAACAATGGCATACATTACAAAAGGGCTCAACTAAGGCTGCCCAGAGTTACACAACACGCAAACCCCCAGGCATGGGGAGGAAAAAGCCCACAACCAAGGTGACAAAGGCGAAGCCGCCTAAACCTGACGCACTCGCTGCTCAAGCCAGCGGATCAAGGACGAGATCGCAGGGACCACCTCTAATGGCGCCGACTCAGCAGCCTTGGCTACCCTCCGGAAGGCCGCGACGCCAGGACCTTCGTCAAGTACAGGATCCACAGGCTCCAGCGGCAAACGCAACACCTCCCACAGTGCGCCAGCCACCGCCGCGCGCACGTGCGCCAGCTGCAGCTCGCCAAATTCTCGATCACGCTGGACAATCTCCCGCGTCTGAAGAGCATGATGGAGCTGCTCCAACACAGCAGCCACGCCAGCCACACAACGGCAAAATTGCAACAGCCGCGAATCAGGGGTGGGATACGGCACCTCAGCAGGAGGGGCGCACCAGGGAGAGCCCCAACCACCATCACGCGGCCAAGCACTGGAACTCCTCCTGCCTGTCCTCAAGGACGTCCGTGCCAAGGGCACACTCACCCCCGATGGACGGAGGACAGACAGACTCAGACTCAGCAACAAGACTAGCGGCGTAGTCTAGGCGACAGCGAGCAGCAAAGTCGACAACCTCAGCAACTAGGGCAGACTTAGCAGTGGACTCAAAGGAAGGGTCAGTGACAACGGTAGCAAGGAGACGCGTGACAGTAAGACTGGCAGCACGAAGAGAGTCCGACTCTGGGTCGGCAAGTGCAGGAAGAGAGGACTCAGGAGGAGAAGGCAAAGGGGCATGCACAGGAGAAGTGGACGGACGCAGAGACATCCGGTGCGTGCCAGGGACAGGAGGAG